TTGCAACCACTCAAATATACACACGAAGGCACTTAATTGCAAAACTGAACACCAATCAGCCAACTACAAAAAGCCCTCAGTTTAGCCATTTGAAGAACTTTGCAAGCATGGATAGAGGGAGGCAGAGCAAGAGGAAGAGGAGGAGGAGGAGGTCAAGGTCGAAGCAACCATGCACGGACTCTGATGATATACTGTAAGAGCAACTTTGGTGAACCATGTAATCAACCATGGCCTGACGATGAGGGAGGCTGGGCAGAGAGTCCAGACACGTTTACATAAGCCGCTTCACAGTGACATCTATACTGTAATACTGTAAGAAAATTCAGACTAGAAAACAGGTATGTCTTCACCTCGCTACCTTCTACTCCACTCAGATGGTATTTACAGCACTGTAGTGTATATCACATCAATGTCTAGAAGACCTTTTAGGAGAGGACGCCAATGCCTGTTCACACAACTGAAGGAACTCACCATTGTGGACCTAGTGAGGGCAGACAATGCCATCCGTCTCCACCAGAAAATACTTGCAGACAGAACAGTCTTCAACAACATAAACCATGTGAGGACCACGACCATCAGACGCATCTTGGGAAAACACAGCATCACCATGAAGCAGCTCTACAGAGCCCCATTTGAGAGGAACAGTGACAGGGTCAAAGGACTTCGAGCTGAATATATATGGGTAAGTGTAACTGTCCTTTACAAGTACAATACAGTATTGGTGAAATCCAGTACCAGCTGAATATGCACCATATCAGGACCACATGGATCCATTTGGAGAGCTACACAGGTACCTGTGTGATGGGGTGAGGGTTCGTGTAGGATATGTGTAGCAGTGCAGTAGTATGCTCTATAGTGCATACAATAGCCAACATATACTCACATTTCTAGATGCTCTCCATAATGTATGTATAATATATATAGTGTTTTTCTTTTCTTTTTTCTGAATTTATCTTACTGCAATGTACAGTGCTGCAATGTACAATATTGAGTAGGCCTGTTTGCTTTTTTGGTTGATTGAAAATGTTCCTCCTGAAAATATGGCTTCTGAATAAACAGTCAAAATCAGAGACTGCAGTGTTTTATATAAAGTAGACTACTGTGTTCCCTCTGATCTGAAAGTGTTCGCATATGGTGCAAGTGTGTGTCATTTTGTCATCAGAGTTACATTTTGACAAAGGAATGTTAGGTTTTGATCGTAGAGTTTCAATTTGACACAGATGCGAATGGTATATTTCCCAGTGTTGTGTCACATTTACTTTTGTGTAGAGTTTTGGCACAATGAGCGAAATTTTGGAAAAAATGTGTTAAAGCAATGGGCAAAAACTGTAAATTAAATTCAGAAAACTTTATTGGCATGACAATTACATTTAGTAAATATTACAACAATATTATATATATTCATGGTTAGATATCGCTTCTAAATCAAGTATTATTAACATCACTAAATCATGGAACAACGGAACTTAGAAACTGAACATTATACACGTGTGTGTGTGTGTGTGTGATTGCGTGTGTGTGTGTGTGTGTGTGTGATGGTGTGTGTGTGTGTGTGTGTGTGTGTGTGTGTGAGTGTGTGTGTGTTGTGTGTGTGTGTGTGTGTGTGTTTTGGGCTGTGAGTGAGTGTGTGTTTATTAGATGTTTGTTTCTGGTCGTCCCTCAGGAGATGCTGCATTAATGGATCATTCGTCTTCTTCACCAAGAATGAAAGTTTTTGTGTTGTATTAAATTGGGGAAATATGTTATTAATATTTGGGGTAATAGTGGTCTCTGCTGCGTTTATATTTCTGTGAGGAAGTCTCCGTCACTCCCAGAATGCAGTGCGAGAAGAGTCTGAACATCATCATTAGGCTTGTTTGAGATGAGCAAATTCTGATGCATGCTGGTTAGAAATGTGTCCGAGAGCGCACTGCCTGCGTCTGATGTCATGCCGACATATGTCAAAAAACTCTCGCGAGCGCAAGGCGCACCTGTCGAATTCTGCAGTCGCGCGCAGTTGCTCTCCACCGACTGCGCTGATCAAAAGCATGATGGGAAACGACTTGCTGACGACACAGCTTAATGTTCATTGGTTTAAAAAACCGTGATGTATTTTTCTCTTTTAACATGTTTGATTTTAAAACTTTGATATCATGTTTTATGTGTATACATATTTGTTATGGGTGAATAGCTACACTCTCTGACAGTGCCATATGGGTTATTATGTGATTTCAAATATGATATTTTTATAAACATGATATTTTTATTAAAACAATATATAAAAACACATATCTGTATTAAAGAAAAAAATATTGATAAACACATATTTGGAATGTAATTCAATAACAAGTACTTTGGGTGTCTTGTTCATTATATTTATTTTCATATAAAAGCAACAGAACTTAAAGTACATCCAGTTTATTAGCAACACGTGCACGAGCGTGAATCCCGTGAATCCCGCGATATCAGTCTTTGATCTCACAGGTGTCTGATCCACTGCGAGAACTGAGATTTGTCCGGCTTGAATGCGCTTTTTTCACTCCTCCTCTTACTGCAGCCGCCTACTCTCGACTACATTGCAGGCAAGGCGAGGCGCATCTCAAACAAGCCTAGTGTTTTCCTGAGTTTCACATCACTCTGTCTCTCTGCAAGATGGCTCCTGTGTGTTTGTCTCGCCGTCTGTTGCTCTGGTGTCTTCTTCTCTGGTTGTTTGCTGTGTCTCTAACCTGCTGTACGCATCTAGTCTCCGCACGGTATCCGCCGGTGGCCGCTCAACACCTTGCGGAGAAAGCGAAGGAGGAAACGAGGAATCCGCGGAGGATACAGCAAATCTGAGGGTGAAACTGAGGGCTAATTTACGAGCTGGTGACGGTCTCGGTGCGGCTCTGCTGCATTCCACTATCAAAGGAGAAAACACGAGGCCCATCAGCTTCTCCAGAGCATTTCACTAGCTTCAGTCGCTTCTCATCCACTTAAATGATATTAAGCCTTAAAGTTCTCCATAAATAAGGGTGTGGACACTACAGTGACAGGGAACCGCTGCCGTCACTACTAGTGTTTAGGTGTGTTCCACATCGGCTGGATGAAACCCATCGGTGAGATTTGCTTACAGGCGAGAGGAGCTGAAAACTGAGACGCGAGTCGGACACTTTCTGCTTCCACAAATTACACTTTCTGTATTTAGTCAATTACACAGACTCTTCAGAGACATTTTCATTCAATACTTCATAAGTAGTCCTCCGGTGGCTCTCGAATCACTCGCGTACTTTGATGGCTTTTGTCATAATCGTGTGGCGTCTCAAGTCAGCCACCGATCGGTCTGCGCAGCTGAACAAGCTTTTGTCTGCTGTCTGTTAGAGTCACCTCAGCTAATCCTGCTTTTTGCCCATTTTCATTTATGCGATAGTGACGCATTACGTTTGTAAAAGATAAACACGACGGTACATGCAAGTCCAAGAGATGAATCAATGTAACTCTAAACCATTAGTAAAATCATTCCTGTGTTTTGTTATTGCCGGTTTATCTGACCCTCATGTAAAGGATTGACCAGGCCCGGATTGGCTAATCGGGAGCACCGGGAGAATTCCCGGTGGGCCGGTCTGTTTTATTGGCTAGGTGGGGCGGCGTTGTCACGGCACTGGGTGAATGTTTTCCCTAATAGGCTCCAGTCACAGCGCAGCCCCACTATTTTTATTATTATTTTCTCGCAGCCCGACAAAAAAAAAAAGTCAGTTGCTAGAGATATGCGAACAAAAAAAAAAAAAAGAGATACGAAACATGGACAATAGTAGCGCTTACGAGTCAGGGCCGTACCCACCACCATATCGCAACGAGAACCAACCTCATCATCAGCACCATAGATCAGCACTCAAACGCCGCTCGTCGGCAATGGCAAAATATTTGAGATGACCGATCAAAGCAGGATTTATTTCCACAGAAGCACGAGCCACGCACCACGAATCCCAACGCGACGCTTCCCAAGATAATAAGATGCAAGTGGCTAAACTAAACAGCTGTTTTACGATACAAGTTTTAAACGACCGACATTAATCAGATTGCAAAGACTATCAATCAAAGCTCAACTTCGGAAAGGGGAGATTTACAGGTAAAGATAAAGAGACTGAGAGAAGAAGAACGAGAGAAGGAGAAGCAGGAAGAGCAATTGCCTATTACTGTGCCCAGAATGAGAATAACTTTATTACAATGGATTCCTATTTAACACAGATGTAAGGTCACCGAGGTTCGGACCTCTGTCATTTTTTTACATTCAAAAATAAAATTTCATGCTCTTTGAATGATTAGTTAGGCATGTTTAAACCACCTCACATGAGTGTTTCAATTCATGTTGCTGTGAGAAGCTAGCAGTGGACAGCGCGTTGTGAATGAGAGCGTGAGTGCAGTATCCGTGTTGCCAGATCCACCTAATGGAAAGGTGCAGTAATCTCCTGGAACTGTTTTTCTGATTTAACGCGACACTTTAAAAGTTATTAAAGTGGAAAGTTGCATGTTAGGGTTAGTGATATATTCATCTTATTTCCAAAACACAAGCTATTAACTAATTTCGGATTATTATTATTATTATTTTGTTTTGTTTTGCTTGTTTTTCGCAGCAATATCTGGCAACACTTTACTGTCAGCGTTAATAAAAAATAAAGAAAAGCTTATAGACAAACTGTAATTGCATAAAGCTACCACATTTGGTAAGACAAACGCAATGATCATCGTGATTTTCTGTAAGAAATGTAGGCTATAACACTATCAAAAACAATAGCATTATACAGATCTGTATGTTACAGAATGAAATTTGCCAAATAACCTTACTGGCCAGCTGCAGAGGCTCATGCTGTTTAGTTAACATTTCACAAAGTCATTATAAATACAATTATTAAAGCAGTGTTTCTCAGCTAGCAATCTATTCAACCAGAATATTTGTGTTTATTCTGTGTGACTTGCAGAAATATAAGACTTTGCTAGACCTACTTTTATTCTATATTTCTTTGCACAAAACTTAAAAAAAAAAAAAATCCCGGGGGAGCATACCCGGCTATTGCACTGAATAGAAAATAATATTTTTGAAAAATACAATGAATTACAAGGCTGTACAGAACACTATTGCTTATATACTGAGGTTTTAATTACATTATTTTAATATAGTCAGTCGGGAACTAAAGTGGGCCGGTCTACGGCATGAAACTCCAAGGCTGAAAATGAGTCCCAATCCGGCCCTGGGATTGACCCTCTTCTGAACAGAGGCGGGGAGCAGCAGCTCAATTGCATTTAAAGGGAAACACAAAAGTTATTGAGCTTTTGTCACAGTACTCTTGCCTCCCAAGTCTTTCTGGTAGAAATGGGAGCTCTAGTGCAAGTTCTACCGGGAAAACTCTAATATCACGTAATTCATTAATCACGTTATTCATTGACCTCAGATCTAGCCAATCACCACTCAGACATTTGGAGTACTTAAACCCGGTTAACACCCATACTATGTTTGCAAAAACTGACGCCGGTGTTCATCCCCATCCTCCCCAACACCACCCGGTCGTTCTCTTGTCTCCTGAGTCTTTCTGGTAGAACTACTTTACCTGTGCGCTTACTGAAAATAATTGCACACCTTGTAATGTTCATCAGCCAATCAGAATGAAGCATCCAACAGCCACGTAGTATAACTAGAGCTAAACCTCTGTACATTCTCAATAAGAACTTTATTAAATGTAGTCATGTAATCTATAATAAAGTGTAACTAGTTTGTAATAAGTGAATATTGCAATGGTGTTTTTGAAGTTGTTTAATGGAAGCTCTTCCTGCTCTACATACTTGAGTTTTTCCAGTCTATAGTTTGGATCCTTGAGTTTATCAGAGAACAGCTTGACTCCTGAATCTCCTGGGTGGTTGTAGCTCAGATCCAGCTCTCTCAGGTGTGAGGGGTTTGAACTCAGAGCTGAAGACACATAACCACAGCCTTCCTCTGTCACCATACAGCCAGACAATCTACAAAAACATACAGCAACAGTCCACATGACATTAGTTTGGCATTCACATCAGTCTCTTTCACACAATGACCTGCGTAGTTTGTATTTTCATCTGTTATTTTCTGTAGATTCTTAAAAGTAACAAAAACATTAATTAACATTGCATTAATTATGATTGTGGCTTTTCTCAAAAAAAGAAATTTGGGTGGGGGGTTCTGCGCTCCTGATGGTTTTTGGTTTGATGGTTTTCAGTGTAAAGTCACACTGCCAGAATTTCTTCTTATATTTACTTGTAATATTAGTGATCAAACATTTCAGATGTTGACCTAGGAGGAGAGAAATCATTTCAAGGATTCAAAAATGTGTCTCTGACAGTCAAATCGTGGCCAAAACAGTGTGACCCTGGATTTAGCAGCAGGGAACAGTAAAGGTAAATGGCACCTAAGTAGTGAGTTTAGGTATAGGGGTGAAACCCTGAAGTGACATTTTTAATTTCTCTCACCTTAATTAGCTTATCAACTTCTACACTGCTTCAGTGTTTCTTTTCTAACACTCTGAATGTGGATTATATAAACACTGAGCAGTGTACATTACTGGGGATTTTGATGTGTGGACTCATCCTGGAGAAGATCGATGTTAAAGTACGATTTTTGCACCAGAGGGCAGGTAGCAAGGTCAAGCCCCAGTGAGGATGTTAATTGGTGTGGTGATGAATATTGGTATTGAATGCATTATTTTCTGACTGCAAATGTCATGTCCATAATTACAACAAAATTGGAAATTACAACAAAGCAAATGCTGTTTTTGTCTCTTCTTCTGGCATTGTATCAGATTTGTTGACAAAATTGTAAAAATATATATTTTTGTATTAATTGTTTAATGGAAACCCATTTACCTCAGTATCTGTAGCTGACAGTTTGGACTCTTCAGTCCATCAGAAAGCAGCTTCACTCCAGAATCCTGCAGGTCATTGTTACTCAGATCCAGCTCTCTCAGGACGGTGTTTGAGGATTGAAGAACTGATGATAAACTCTCACAAGACTGAGCAGTGAAATTACACATGGCACATCTGAACAAGAAAAGCACAATATAATTGCATACAGAATAAATCTTGGCAAAGTGATTTTTACATAATTAATGCAAAATAAAATCAATTGCAAGTATTTGAGTTCATACCTCAGTATCTGTAGCTGACAGTTTGGGCTCTTCAGTCCATCAGAAAGCAGCTTCACTCCTGAATCCTGCAGGTCATTGTTACTCAGGTCCAGCTCTCTCAGGACGTTTGAGGATTGAAGAACTGATGATAAACTCCCACAAGATTGAATGGTCAGATTACAGCCATGTAACCTGTGTGGAGAACAAAACAAACAGCAATATTAATGTGCTTTTCATGTAGGGTTTATTACAGGGGTTCTCAGCTCAGGCCCTTGAGATCCACTTTCTGGCCGAGTTTAGCTCAAACCCTTATCAAATAGACCTGAACAAGCTAATCATGGTCATCTGGATTACTAAAAAGTTTCAGGCAGGAGAGTCCTCCAGCACTTCTGACGTGGGCACCACTGCTATTGCTCTGGTTGCCGACTAGGTGCATCCATGTGCACGGTTCCCTCTGGTAACTGTGTCATGTGTATTTTCCACTGTAAGTCTCCCTGAGCATGTGTCTTCCCTTGGCAAGCCATCTGCCACTCCTGGAGCTAAGTTTTAGCCACCCGTCGGTTGGTGCTCCGGTGATCTCCATATATAGTTCCTACGGGGCCATATGTGTATTCTTAAGTCCTCCTTCGGCAGGCATCTGGTAGCATGTCCCTCCCGGGATATGTTTCCCAGTGTACCTTGGCATTCCTGTGTTAAAGTAACCCTCGTTCCCTGAGTAGGGAACGGAGACGTTACGTCTCCTTGCCACTTCTGCTGTACCGCTGGGTAGACGCCTGAGTTCAGTCTTGGCTCCTCAGCGAAGACATACTGCGGTTGCGTTCACTTCCTCCTTTTATACCCACGGAGTAGGGCGGAGTTACGCTATGCAAATTCCTCAGCCCCAAGGCATTTTCATGCCATTGGCTCGTTATTAAATACTCGAAGAGGATTGGCTTTCTATGCGGAACCCCCATTCTCCGTCACTTCTGACGTAACGTCTCCGTTCCCTACTCAGGGAACGAGGGTTACATCCTTAACCGAGATGTTTTTCAAAACACTACACACAATTCTCTGCTTTTGGCACAATTTTCATTTGATTTTCATTCAAATATTCACACCGACTCGTCACATGGGCAAACACATTTCACAGTTTTACAATTAGCAATCAGAGCTTTACCATAAAATAACCAAAGAGAAGATGCAGCATAGATATTTTTTTACAGTTTTTCTCGATTGTTTACACACATTTTCTGGTACTTGAGACACAATGAGCACAACATGTAACTCATTCACCAACCCCCTGAACCAATTCTGCTGAACTACAAGCACAATTCCTGCTTTACACTCAAATTGCAGTTCTAAAACACACGTTTTCAAAACACTACACACAAATTCTCTGCTTTTGGCACAATTTTCATGCAGAAAATATCTTGTTTTCACAAGGAACACACTGCCATTCAAATATTCACACTGACTCGTCACATGGGCAAACACCAGTCACACAGTTTTACAATTAGCAATCAGAGCTTTAGCATAAAAGGGCAACAGGTGAGCTCTTCAATGGAGCAATGGATGCCAACATTGGAAACAGAGGCAGAGGAGTGAGAGTAAGAGGAGGAGGACGGGGAGGACGAGGAGGACGAGGATGAGGAAGGCCAAGTACCGTAATCTCTGATGAGATACGAGCCACTTTGGTTGATCATGTGGTCAACCATGGTCTAACAATGAGGGAGGCTGGGCAAAGAGTACAGCCAAATCTGAGCAGGTACACTGTAGCATCCATCATCCGGACTTTCCGAAATGAGAATAGGTAAGAAATCTACTCTCACTAGAAAATTGCATTACTGCATATCAATACAGTACTCAATGAGTACAGTAGTACAATATTGCCTGTGGACTGTTCTGTAGGACTGTAAAAATACTGTAAAGTATGTTTCAAGTATTTAGGAAATGTATACCTACTTTGTATTTACAGTATTTTACTATTTGTTTGGCAGAACTGAAAGATTACCAAGACAAGGTGGTCGGGAACGTGTTTTGTCTCCAGAACAGAAAACTGAAATCATAAACATGGTCCTAGAAAACAACGCCATAACATTACAGCAAATACAAAGGAAAATAATAGAAAACAATGACATATTTCAAAATATTGATAGGGTAAGTTTATCAACACTGGACCGTGTCTTGCGCAGAAATCATCTCAGGATGAAGCAGGTCTACAGGGTGCCATTTGAACGCAATTCAGAAAGAGTCAAACAATTGCGATATAATTATGTGCAAGTGAGTCCCACAATTGATGCATACTCTCAACACTCTATACAGTAAATTATACATATTTCAATCTTGTAATCATAATGATTGTGCTTCACAATAGTGTCACAATAGTGTAATACCATGTCTATTTCTGATATTGTCATGTGTGTTTCAGAGAGTCCTTGAGCTAGAGGTGGCTGCAGTGGAGCACCAGTTCATCTTCATTGATGAGGTTGGGTTCAACCTCACAAAAAGAAGAAGGAGGGGAAGGATGATCATCGGCCAGCGTGCCATTGTTGAAGTCCCTGGCCAGCGCGGAGGGAACATCACAATGTGTGCAGCGATTACCCATCACGGCGTCATCCATCACCATGCTACCCTTGGACCCTACAACACCGCCCATCTGATCACATTCCTGGACACCCTACACAACACACTCATTCCACCAGATCAGGTAGATGGCCCAGAGCAGCTAAGGTACGTTGTCATTTGGGACAACGTAAGTTTCCACAGGGCTGCTCTGGTTCGTAACTGGTTCACTGCCCACCCCCGCTTTTTAGTTGTTTATCTCCCTCCATATTCTCCATTCCTCAATGCTATAGAGGAATTTTTTTCTGCCTGGAGATGGAAAGTCTATGACCGTAATCCACAAACGCGTATACCTCTTCTCCAAGCTATGGAGGACGCATGTGGAGATATAGCAGCTGATGCTTTTCATGGCTGGAATCGCCATGCCAGGTGATATTTCCCCCGCTGCTTGGCCAGGGAAAACATTGCTTGTGATGTGGATGAGGTGCTGTGGCCAGACCGCAATAGAAGAGAGGATTCAGCATAGTTTTTATTTTATTTTTATTTTTTTTTACTGTAACTGTGTACAGTAAATTGTTCTATTGTTTTATATGTAGTGTATGTGCAACTTTGTGTTGGTTGGGAATGGGATGTACACTGTGTACATTGTTTTTGTGGGAAAAATAAAATATATTTGTTACTGTGTATTTGTGTGTTTTGAGTATAAAAACAATATTCTCAAATATTTTACAACACACGTACTGTCTGTAGTACAGTAAGTGTAACACTGAACAAAAAAAAGGCCTAAGTCATTATGATGAATGGAGAAGAAGTGTTTTCCATTGATCATAGTGTTTTACATTGAGCACATCAGTGTTCAACAGGTTTTTATAAATGTCTATTCATATGATGGTTTGTGTGTGTCATTTGAAAACAAAATACCATTTTGAGAAGAAATAACATTGTTTTGAATGTAAAGTTTCATTTTGCAGGAGAATTGAGGGGTTTTGCCAATTGTGTGAGTGTTTTTAGATTTGTGTGTAGAGTTCTGAGAATATGAGGCATTCTTTCAGAAAATGTGTGTAAACAATCGAGAAAAACTGTATTTCTTTTTTTACTGTAACAGCATAAAAAATTCGGTTGTTTTGTATGTAGACCACTGTATGTGCAACTTTGTGTTGGTTGGGGTGTACATAATGTGGGATCAATCTCATATTGATTTTGTGGGAAAAATAAAATATATTTGTTACCGTGTGTATTTGTGTGTTCTGGGTATAAAAACAATATTCTCAAATATTTTACAACACACTTTTGTATGTAATGTCTGTAGTAAGTGTAACACTGAACAAAAAAGGCCTAAGTCATTATGATGAATGGAGAAGAAGTGTTTTCCATTGATCATAGTGTTTTACATTGAGCACATCAGTGTTCAACTGGTTCTTATAAATGTCTATTCATATGATGGTTTGTGTGTGTCATTTGAAAACAAAATACCATTTTGAGAAGAAATAACATTGTTTTGAATGTAAAGTTTCATTTTGCAGGAGAATTGAGGGGTTTTGCCGATTGTGTGAGTGTTTTTAGATTTGTGTGTAGAGTTCTGAGAATATGAGGCATTCTTTCAGAAAATGTGTGTAAACAATCGAGAACAACTGTAATATATTGAAACCAGCAGCGGCTTGCCCATAGAGGGCGCTGGGGTGCCGACCTCCCGCCGCTCTGTCTGTCTGTTTTTTTCACACACACACACACATATATATGTATGTATATATAATTTATCATTTTGAAAAATAATCTGTGTTAATTATATGCTAATAATTATTTTACTTTGAAAAGTATTTTGAACTCTCCAGAATGATATTTGCATTCACTTTCGTTACATTTATCATGTTGGTGTAGTAGTAGCCAATAGGCTGTCTTCTCTGGGCTCCAGTTCGCTCAGCCCTACAGTGCTGGAATTTAAGCCAATGGTTCCCCGGTTGCTACGCAAAAAAGTTTATATTTCGCAAATCAGAGTCGTCGAATTTTATGGTTTGGGTGCTCTGAAAATATCGCCCGCAGTACCAAAATTAGAGGAGTGCACCGTGCACACGCACCACGGGACATTTACCTCTCTCTCTCACACACACACACATGCTCATTCTCTTACTCTCTCACACACACACACACACACACACACACTATCATACTCTTTCTCTCACTCACACACACGTACACACACACACACACACACACACACTTGCTGTCATTCTCTTACACTCTTGCTCTCACACACAAACACTACGGAAGCCCTGAACCGCAACCTAAAAAAAAAAAAAAGTCAGTAAAAAAAAAAAAAAAGTCTGTAAAAAAAAAAAAATCTGTAAAAAAAAAAAAATCTAGCATTTCGAGATTAAAGTCGAAATGTTTCGAGATTAAAGTCGAAATGTTTCGAGATTAAAGTCGAAATGTTTCGAGATTAAAGTCGGAATGTTTCGAGATTAAAGTCGAAATGTTTCGAGATTAAAGTCGAAACATTGTGCATTCATAACAGTGCGCGTCCACTGGCTCAGAGCGCGCGCGTGTGTGTGTGAAGTCGAACTGCCATGGATAAACACAAAATAGTAGCTTTTTACTTTTATCTGAATTACTTATCTTACTTTATCGTTATAAAATATAATGCGCCGGAATAG